AACACACAAGGTAAACAATATAAGTGTAAGTATAAAACTAAGAAAAAAAAATAAATAAAATATAGACTAATATTAAATCTGGACTGTAAGTGTAAAACTTAAAGGGGGGTAGCTCGAATATATACACACACATTGGAGGGGAACGACAGAATGATGAGGTGTGCGTGTGTTTCTGTACCTTTAAGCACTAAGAGAGATGATTATCGGTTTAGCATCTTGCTGGCAGAGCTCTGCAGGGATCGTAAGATACTCTGGCTGGTCCGGGGTACACCCATGTGACAGGAGTCATGAATAGCAATTTCAACTTAGTGTGCTGCCCATGCTAATTCTGATCCACACTCCCCTGTTCGCTTGCTTGAGTGTAAGCTAAGCATTAACTATCATGTTTCTAGCTTTGTTGCATGCATGTTGCATGATTCCCTTAGCTCCAGTTTCAGTTGTCACTGTCATTGTCTTTGCCTTGTTATTCACAACTACCTGCTACGCTAGACTAGCTGCGTTCGTAGTTATTCCTGATTTTACTCCCCTGTGGCTGTGCTAGGCTTTGCTGCATGCAGGTACTTAATTGAGACATCTGCAGGTCCTTAATGTAGGTGTGGGACATTGTGCCTATTTTCTGGGCCAAAGAGAGGCAGAGAGACAGGCTGTCTAACTCTGATGCTACCAAACCGTACAGTATGTGCCACCCACAGTGCAAGCCAGAACATATGTCAGAGTGAAAGGGAAAATGATCATATAGATTATTTCTCTGACATGCATCCAAATGTGTGGCCTTGCAGTCAAATAGCAGCAACACAACCTCTTTTTTCACGCTATTGTTTTTTTTTCTCTTGCTCTTCATCTTTTCATGCTTACACACAGCCTGACCTTGTAATATTTCATCGCAGGAAAGAACTGTAGTATGTATCTCTGGTACAGCATCTGTTTTCTCAAAGGATGTATATTTCTCACGGGGCCACTGCTCTCAACACTCTCCTTGCCCAGTGTCTGACGGAGGTATTTTTCACTGGGGCGTCAATACTGGCCACCTCCCTTTCAGGAGCTGAAATGATTTCCTAGTCTTGCTCTGATCTTAACCTTACTCTTGTCTTATACACAGAGGGGACCATTTCTCTCGGGAGATATTAACCCTCCCCGCGGCCCGGAGAGACATTTTTCAGCATGGAGCTGACATTAACTGTTGTTGCAGGGGCTGATTGTCTGAGCTGCGGGCCATACTTTATGGAGCCTCTCGTTTCCACCAACATTGATCTGCCACTGCTTTATATTATGCGCACAGACTGGTAAAAACAGGCCTGTGTGTATGTGTGTGTGTGTATTTAGGTGTTCACATCAAGGAGGAGGAATGGTGATCACTAAGGGGAGATGAATACAGACCCCTTAACACAAGAATACCAATGAGCATGTAGAGGGAGCAGAGAATTTTGGGGAGCAGAGAATATTAGCTTTGCGGCAGATTAGACACCAGTAAAAAGGTGTGTGAGGCAGTAAGTCGCTTCCATCAAAAACAATAAAACCAACCAGTATGGGAAGTAGGAAAAAAGGACTTTAATTTTAAGGGAAAGAGACTAACGGCAGTTGATGGATAGAGGTGATGCTATGTAAAGTAAAACGGGAAGAAAGTGGGAAAGAAGGTTTTACCTGGGACACCTTGCGTACCACCTCCCCACTGACCACCAGTCCCTGAACAAAGGAACGTGCTGCCACAAATGTGCGTGTCACCGCCATCTTCATTGCACGGGGTGTGTCTCCAAAAGGTCGTAGTGTCTCTATCTGCTTAGAGACACACTCCAGGTAGTCCTCACCTGCAATCATCATTGACATTTATTAAAATTTTTCTCTAGATCTAGATCTAAATACATCAAAATATTATGCTTTAATAGACAATCAGAACATCTTATTTTATTTTCTAAACTTTGATTATTATGTAAACACTGTGTATCACATCTGTGATATACATTCTCAGGCAATGAACCTGTGTTTGTAAGGTCCCATTAACCCATGAATTAGCTCTTGTTTGTTATTTGGTGTTTTACAAAAAAAGCTTGATGTACCTATGAAATATTGCTTGTTTGCCTGGTAGAAAAGCTTCTCCAGCAGCCTGGCCCAGAATTCGTTGAGCACCTCTTCCAGGTTGACATTGGACCCTCGGTAGTAGTGCCTCAAATCTGTGTACAGGTCAGTGAAGACCTGGGAATTCTGGGAGTATAGGAGTCCGAAAGTTGTAGTGAAAGTCTCCTGTAGACTGATCGCCGAGCGGTTTAGCACCTCCAGGAAGTAACCTAAAAATAAAACATAGAAAATGTGTGGTTTAAAAACAAAATAAGGAAGCACCATTGACTCATATTTATATATATATATATATATATATATATATACTACATAATGCATGGCATTATCTTCCTATTATTCATGTTTTCACTATATCCTCACATTATCTTTCCCACCCACCGTGCTGCTCAATATAAACCTCAATGCAGGATAAAAAGTAAATTATTTTTTACAGAATTTCCTTATCTTATTGCTTTGTGCTGCATACTTACTCTGCCTTATACTGCTGGTGAACCTAAAGTTGAAGTATGTGCGAGTGTCCCTCTAGACAGTTAGTGATTTGTTAATTTTCATTAAGGGGGAGCACATAACCGTAACCCTCACCCCTACTCATAACCATATAGTAAAAACTATATCTGCAGTCATGTCTCCCTTAAAATATTTTGTTACAGAGTTGGCTTGCTCTGTGGGTGTATTTTCAGATGCTACCAAATGATCATAGACATATTATAGGAATATTATTATAGGAATACTACAAGCAGCAGAGTGTCTCTATGACCCTCTTGTTCTTCCACAACTAAACATTGTTACTTGTCACTCTGATCGTGAAGGTCACACTACTCTATAGAGTATACAGCCTACAATAATACAGAATTGAGTATTTATAGGATATAGTTTAGAGAATATTATAGATCCAAGACAAAACTGACAAAGGCGCAATTATAAATCTATCTGCAACTTCAGCACCACGGACAAAGCCATGGGTTTATCGATAAACAGCATCGTTAGGCTACTGATATTTCAGAGCCATGGTCGGGGCCATAGATTCTAACTTGCACAAAGTTATATAAGGGCAGACTAGACTAACATATTCCACTAAAAAAACCCTCTGCCTCTGCACTTTCTCTGGGATGGGGAAGGGGGAATGGCAAGTTAAAAAGGGTCATTTTGCTAACAAAGAGGATGGCTCTCCAATCGCTTACTGCCTCTAGGGCATGTCAGAGAATTGACAGTGCTTCAGGGTGAAGTATATATTGCTCCAAGTGAGGATTTACAGATATAGGGTACAGGCAGAGGCAGGCACACAGGTATAGGGAGGCTGTCAGTCTCGGAGAAAAAAAAGTAGGAGAATGTTGAAGTCTGACTGAGACAAGCACAAACAAAAAAAAAACAAGCAAATAAAATAGGGTAAGCAGACTGCAAATCCTAATCCCTACACTAATGTTCGTCCAATCAATTTACATGCATGAGAGCAACAGGATGTATAAACACATGTATAATGTGATCTGTTAAAACTCAAAAAAAAATAATAGAGAGTCTGCAAAAACTGAGCATTTTAAGCTTAAGGAATGTTATTTACTGCAAAGCTGTTTTGGATTTTATTACCCTGCATTACTGGTACTCACTATACTGTAGTTCATGGGTCATGGGTGGGATGGGTCGATCGAGGTGCATACATTCACATATCGAGTTTGTTTTCATGAATTCCATTTTTTTCTGTGGCCAGTGGTATAAAGATTTTTTCATCCATTTTGTGTGTAAACAATGTTTATAAATGAGGAGCCCATGCTCTGCCAAGAGTATGGCAGCAGAAAATTTAGCACAACAACAGCGTGCCTGGACCATCCATCCATTCAGGCCAGCATTTGCTCTGCATCTCTCCACATACACAATGGGTTCAAACCTGGTGCACGTGTGTGAATGTGTGTGCATGTTTATCTGTTTGTCTGCCTGTGTGTGTGTATACGTGTGTGTGTGTTTGTGGCAGGGGGATGGGAAGCCGTAGTCAGAGCAGTGTTTACTTTGTAGGTGTCTTATCTCTGCCTGCCACCACCTCAGATCGCGAGTAGACGAAAAAAGGGGAGGTTGTGGCCTCCACAGGGGACATCCTGCCTGGAGTTAGCTTATTCCCCTAACGAAGCTGTTTTTAAAAACATCATAACACACGATTCGACCACACAGGCAAAAGCACTCTCCAGCATGTTTAGACAAAATACAAACACAACCTGTCTTCTCACTGTTTCCCTGACGACAACAGTAAAAAACCAAGCCGCATTAAACAGTAGCAAAACTCCAAACATGCGCCGGGTCTGAAGACAATCACAACACTTGAAGTTGCATAACATGTTAATATGCTAAGCTCATCCTGACCCATCTGCATGGCATTATCTAAGCACTGGCCTTGTTAGATACTGTATATCTGCTCTGCTTTCCCACTCATTAATAAACACCAGCCGGCCTGCTTCACCGCTGCGGTTATTTGCTGCTTTCTTCTGGCATTTTCACAAACTCATAGCTAAAAGGTCTACTCTCATCGGAGCCGTTGATTTGAAGAGATGTATTTAGCACTCAATGTTAGCCCACATGTACTCCTGTGAATACTCATTTCGAATTCAACTAGTAGACAACCACCCTGAGACATAAATAATTTCTTAGTCTTGCTTTTGCCACATTTATTGGCCATTCTGTGCTTGGTGAGCACCTACAAAGGCTTACAGCATATCTTAAAAAAATTTACCTAAGTCCAACTTTGTTTTAGTTTTGAATTCTATACTGTGAAACATCAGGGTCAAGTTCCTTCTCTTACAACTACAGTCTTGTTCGGTGCATGACCAGTTGCTCTTTGACGTTTCCCTCAGTTAGGTTCATGCCCAAAATAATGTCAGTGTACATTATTTCTGAACTGGAGACATCTTGTCAATCAAGTGCTTTTTGATGCACATCTTTCAAAACATATACAATGAGCTCTATGTGTGTTCAAAAATACAATAAGGGACTCCTATCTCTACGAATCTAATTATAAATTGGTTTATTTAAAAATGTTTTGTTTTTTTGCTGGATTGTACTGGAACGTGCTTGCTTTTCCTCAGTGGTGTGATATAAGCAAATCAAATTTTGCTCTACTGTAAGATGACAAGAATGTTAAAGGACAAGGTTCACATTTTGTGATATATTCTTTATAAATAAGGGTGAAGGAAAACAAGTTAATTTCCTCAAGGCAGAAAATGTTGATGCAAATGTTTTCAACAAGATAGAGAAAACCTTTCTTGTCAGCTGCTCATTATAGCTGCAGACCTAAGAGGAAAGAGCAAATGGAAACATAATGAATGGTGTGTAGCCTATACAGTATCTTTGTGCATGACACAAATCATTTTTGAGATTATAATGCTCTGTAAGATAACTACTTCTGACATGCTGCGACTGTATGTCCAGCCTTTGTTTAGTAGCGAGACATTCTGGCTGGATGACACATCATTCCCCTGTTCCCTGACCTCATGCCACTCAAACTATCTGGAAACACAGCTCTGGGCCAGCCTGAAAGTACCAGGAGAGCCTTATCTGTGTCACTCACCCAAGCAGTGCGAGTAAACGCCCAAAAACGCACTTCCAGGAGTCAGCAGAAAAGCACATACACACACGTACACACCAACTTCAAAGTGACGCATATACCCACAGACACACGAGGATCACAGATCCTCACACAAACACACACACTATCCAGAGTGCACAGTGGCAGGCAGACAGACAGACGGGGAGCGGCTGTGACAGGTGCAGCTTTGCTTTTAATCCCCATTAGAATTCATTCCTGCTGTGTACTGTCAGCCATACTGTAAAAATGTCTTGAGTCTGGCTAAGCAAAATGGGTTTCAACAGAAATAGTTTCATTCAGGTGATGAAGTTAAGTTGTTTTCTCTATTAAATTAATTATCCACAATTCTGTTTGCAGTCCTAATATGGTTGGGACATGTTTTAAGAGCTCTGGGATCACCACATGTGGAGGGCAGATCTTGGTAAATGGTATCACGCTGTCCAGTGCTCCTCTGCCCTTCAGCTCGAGTGAATAATGATCATCATTAGTATGACTCAAAGCCCCTGTGCATGTGTGTGTGCATGTTCTTTTGTGTCTGGAGATGACCTTTCTCATTCTTCATCTGTTTGTGTCTCCATGAAACTGGGAGCCACAAGCCACATCCCTTCATTTACCCCTCCTTCCTTTTACTCTTTTCCCCCATCCTCTATCATCCCTCACACCTCTACCTTCTCTCCCCCATCGACTGCTCTCCAAGGAAGGAGTGATGGCAGTCTGCACTTAATTGCTTTATCCCAGCACAATGGGTGTGGAGGGGACAAAGAGGGGACAAACAGTTGATGGGATAGTTGGGCAGTTTTACTCATTTTCAGTTTAGTAATCATGAGGATACTATATACATTTGTACAATTGTATACATTTACAATAATAATAATGAAAACGGAATGTATGTGATATCAGTTAGTTAAAACTTATCAAAGTGATTTATCTAGAGTCGGTGATGCAAGCTACTGTATCTTGCCCTGGAAAAGTAATGTTTTAACGTAATCTTCATCTGATCCAAATACTTGATCAAATCATTCAAGAATAACTATTCTGTCTCACTGAAAAGTCAAGTCAGTCTTATCTGTAGGATATAGTTATACCTTCTAAAGGGCATAAATGAATAAATAGTGCAGCAGTAAGTAATACAGTGTACAGTGTTATTTCATTTTTATTTATATAGCCCAAAATATATATACAGTTAAAGGGCTTTACAATCTGCACAACCATACATATCCATAACCAGACTGATTAAACTTTTAATAGCTAAGTTCTTAACACAACTTTCAAGCAAGATGTGTTAAGAACTTAGCAAAATGAGCAACTGAGTTTTGACTGAAGTAATGCAAAATAGTAGTACACAGTTCATTGCTTTGACTGTTTCATATGTGATTTTGCATATAAGTTGCAACATTGTCCTGTCTATCGGTATTGGAAAATATCCCCCTTGATATCGTGAAAATATTTCAACCATTTGTTCAGCTGAACTACACGGACCACTCACATTGACTGAATACTTTCATAATTAACAGTAAAAAAAAGTATTTAATTTGACAGTAGATTAGGAAAATCTCTCTTGTCACACTCCACATTCTGCCTTTAATTCTTTCACTTCTGTCTAACTTATACACACACACACACACACACACTTAGAACAAG